TCTGCGGCACGCTGCATCACTTCTAACATTTTCTTCTTTCTGTCAAGCCTTTTTTGCTTGTAGGTACTTGAGAGCAGCTGTCGCCGTTGTATCTTGTATGTTTTTAGCCCTAAATTTCCAATCCTCCTTAGCGACCTATCCGAAATATTCAATTCTTTTGCCATCTTGTTCATGCAGTCTCTTCTTGATAGCTTTGATTCTCCAGGTACGAACTAAACAGTTTCTTCCTGGAATTGGATTTGATGAGGTTTCCTGCTCCTATGAAACATTTTCTAAGCATTAAAAACAGATTTTCAGCAAACATTCAATTATTTTAGCACCTCAAAAATCTTCATAGTAGCCATTTTCAATGCAACAAATTGATCTCAGTTTATCTGAACCACCATATTTAATTAAAGTGTAAACAATAAAACAAAAGAACAGCCTTGAGCAAGGAAGCCTTTTACGATTAGGTATGTTTAAATAACGGGTAAAGTTTTTATGCTTAAATAACTGGTAAATATATATGACGCATATATATATATATATATATATATATATATATATATAGATAGATAGATAGATAGATAGATAGATGTGGAGAGATTCAGATAGATATACATATATATGAAAAGGCTTAGATAGATAGATAGATAGATAGACAATGAATAAGATGATGCAGACAGACAGACACATGACTATGCCAATCTATATCTGTGCGTGTAATGTGCACACTTGTTTACACGTATGTATTCGCCAGTGCGTTTAATTGTACACGTGGGTGAAAAGTCTTTTATTCCGTTTGTTTAGTTTGCATGCGCATATATATATATATATATATAGAGAGAGAGAGATAGATAGATAGATAGATAGATAGATAGATAGATAGATAGATAGATAGATAGATAGATAGATAGATATTTAATTAATATTTATTTGGCCAGCAGCTTTTCTTTTAAACATCTTTCGTTAAATATAAGAGACAAGGAAATTTTAATTAATCTTTTTATTTCGTTTTTCTAGCGTTCTTACGTTTTTCCGTTTGGTGGAAACAAAAGCGTGCCAAAATTGGCCATTTTGTACATTGTCCCAAGCGCTTTCGGCCACTTCTTTAGCCATTTTCAAAGGACTTTTGTTTAGGTGTTGTTAATTTCTCTTCATGTTTTGACAGTTTCAAATGTTTTTTTGTGTGTGTGTGTGTTGTTTTGAATACAAAAAGGATCATTAATTTCGAGCCTTCGTTTGTTGAGCGCGGCTGGAATTCGAGTGAGCAACTTTCTTTTTTGAAAAAAAAAAAACAAACTCTCGACCCTCCATTCGCACTGCTAAATAAGATCAAGCTGATAATAAGAGGGATATATATATATATATATATATATATATATATATATATATATATATATATATATATATTTCTCCATACATATATTCAATGCGCAGACAAGTGGTAGTATTATAAAAGGTGCAAGATAGATTTTGGTGGCAAATATTAATTAGATATATATAATTTTTGCCACCAAAATCTATCCTGCACCTTTTAATTCTACCACTTGTCTGCGCATTGAATATATGTATTGAGGCATTCTGAACAAAATCTAAAGAAGAATCTGCAATCTTTTGGATCCTGACCTGTTAACTCGGCTTCAATGACTTTCTCACTGTGCTAATGTAATTCTCTTGTGTTTTTTTTTTTTTTTTGTTTTTTGTTTTTTTTGTTGTTGTTTTTTTCTGATGAGTTTTCCTCTTTGGTACATCGACTTCATGAATTTAAGATTTGCAACGAGGTTTCAGTATCTTCATCAGTTGAAATTACTACATGTAGGCGAAAGTTCTATTCTAATAGCTTTTTTCTCTCGCACTTCTTATCTGTGTAACTCTCTTCGGGTTTCTTGCTTTCCTATCAACTACAATGTTCAAAAATTTAAATGTAACATAAACTTCTGTCTTTTTGAATTCTGTTGTTATTATTTCACTTTCTCAATAATGATTTCCCGGCTTATTCCACTCTCAGTAACCTCTTGGATCTTCAAAGAAATTGACCAGCCGCCCATATATACAATGTGATATACTAATTTGGATGTAGTTGCGGAGCCGACTGTATATGTTAGACACACGAATAAATCAACATGATATACCCAGAAAAATTAGGAATGGTACGTTCCAATCTGGTGATAAGATCAACAAAACATACGGCTCTGTCATCGCTGAGTACCTTATAAATAATTCAAGCTGTACCACCAATTCCAGCATTGACTCTTTCTTCATCCTTAGTCGTGCTCATGCCTTATAACATTTGAAAGCATTAGAAACGAACTATGTCAGGTCCAGACAGCCCTCCCTCTGTAAACAGAGTGAATGTCTGTTAGGGCTTGACATTATTTTTATCTGGTTGTTCTGAATTTATTTCATCACATTTTTCTCATGTTTTATATTTTATATTGTAATATTTAGTCTTCCCTCGATTTCAGCTCTGTTGAGTGAGGGTGAAACTGGTTGGCTGGTCAATTTTCTTTTTTTTTCTGTTAATTATGAATGGTAAAGCTCATCTTGCCGTATCTATTTACATAATAAAATTGTATACCCCTAAGAAAAATAATGATATATATATATATATATATATATATATATATATATATATATGGAGAGAGAGAGAGAGAAGGGGAATCCGATAAAATGATAGGATAAAGAACAAGTCGGAAACAGATCTTAATCTAACATGTTTCCCTTTATTAAAGCTTCATCAGAGATCAAGATAGAAATTATAAAAAAATGATAAAAAGCAAAGAAACGCAGATTAATGGGATGTTGTGTTTGGTTATTTCTTATTGGTTAGATTCGTGTCACATGTTATGGAGTAAGATATAATATTTAGATATGTCTGTCAAACACTCTCGACACTAAAGTGTGTAAAAGTTAGTAGGTATATATATTGTAATGACCAAGCTATCAACCTGATTACTATCAACAGGTGGCGGTTAAGGATGAATTTGCAGTGTACTAATATGACATAGATTTCGTTCTGCAATGGCAGCGTAAACAGCGGATTAAAGAATATATTTCATGCATTTATGTAGCATAAGGTTATTAGGGTACACATAATGAAATAACGCTATGGAAACATCTAGAGAAAAAAAGTAATATTTATAACTGACCGGAAAGCAAGAAACTGGTTTGCAAATTTTCTTTCTTGAGAACCATCGTTAGTATTATAGATGAATCCATACTTGGAGATTAGTGGGACTTCGATGAAGTTATTTTATAGTCAGTAAAGGAATGCAATCCACAACAAAGTACACTGTAATTAGCAAAGATCATAAACACGTCGCAAACTAACTTGTGTCATCAGGAATTAGGCAAGATTTTAAACAGGTTGCAATCTACCGTATGTACTCAGGCATGAGGAAAGCTGTTAAACACATCGTAATCTACCATATATATATATATATATATATATATATATATATATATATATATATATATATATATTTTTAAATAAAAACAGATCACTTTAAGATTCCATGTGATAAATTATTTTTTTTGCTTCAATCTTTGGAAATAAAGTCTGATGATCCACAGTCCTTTTAAAATGGCTGTGGTGAAATAATTTATTACATGGAACCTTAAAGTGGTCTGTTTTTATTTAAATTATTTGCTCTGGATTTACATTGAGCTTTCTGGATTTTATCCTCCTTGCGTTTACACATACGGATTACCTAGTTTTTCATAAACTATATATATATATATATATATATATATATATATATATATATATATATATATAAATTAACTGATTTAAAATATGTTTTTTTCGCTACATAGTAATAAACATGTTTCAAAAATGGAAGCTAAAAAGTTTCGAATTTAATTTTGTAATTAAATTAAAAACATTAGTTCCATTTCATCCTCAAGCGAATTTTTATTTATAATATTAATGCTCTGGAAATTTACATTGAGCACTATTTTGTAAGAATAAAAATATCAATAAGAACACCGGATTATATATCTTACTGTTCTTTCTTTATACACACACACACACACACATATATATATATATATATATATATATATATATATATACGGGAAATATAGATAAGATGTTAAACACATCGCAATCGACCGTATGTACTCGGGAATTAAGCAATATGTTAAATACGTTGCAATCTACTTTATGTACTCAGGAATTAGAAAAAGGAGCTAAACACGTTGCACTCTAACGTAAGTACTCGAGAATTAGCAAAGATAATAAACGCATTTAAATCTACCGTAATTACAAAATATATTAAACATATCTCCATCTACCGTATGTACTCAGGAATTAGGAACTATATTAAACACGTCGCCATCTACTGTATGTACTCGGGAATGAGTTAAACACATCGCAATCTACCATATATATATATATATATATATATATATATATATACGGGAAATAGCTAAGATGTTAAATACATTGCAATCTACCGTATGTACTCGAGAATTAGGCAAGATGTTAAATACGCTGCAATCTGCTTTATCTAATCGGGAAACAGGTCGCACTCTACCGTATGTACTACTTGGGAATAAGCAAAGATAATAAACGTATTGCAATCTAGCGTATGTACTGAGGAATTAAGAAAGATGCTAAACTTTCCTAATTTATTTTCTTTCTTTGTCTTCGGCTTTACAAACTGCATCTTTGTTGCGTGCCTGTTATCATTATTTCACTCATGGGCATTTAACAAATACATATGCACACACACACACACACACACACACTTACATACAGACACACACATCCGTTCCCACATACGCACACAAACATAGCTCCACCACACACAAAAACACACACACACACGCAAATCACACACACACGCAAATCACACACACACACACACACACACACGCCCGATACCCGCCCGCCCGCGCTCACGACGTTTGTCTCCAGTGCTTACTCAACGTAGAGCTGTGTCTGCTCTTATAAACGCACACACAGACACAAAGTAATTCCGTCAATGCCTTCCATGTGCACGAACACATCTGCTTCACTTTGAATTTGATTTCTCTCTTTTCTCTTTGGAGAGACTGTGCGAAAGAAAGGAGCTTCTGGGAGAGAGAAAATGAGATGAAAGAGAAGAAAAAAAAAGAGTGAAAGATAGTGTGAAAGGCAGTGAATGAAAGAGAGAGAGTGAGTGAGTGAAATATATATTTTGAAAGAGAGAATTACAATGAAAGAGAATGTGAGTAGGGGAAAGAGAGAAAGAGTGAGATTGTAAAAGTGTGTCTCAGAGTGAGAAATAGAGAATGAAAAAGTGAAGGAGATTGTAAGTTAAAAAGAGAGTGACAGATGTCCTTGGAGGATGAAAGAAAGAATAAGTGTAAGAAAGACTGATTGAAACCTGAGACAGCGGGAGAGAGAGAGAGAGAGAGAGAATTAGGATTGAGAGTGAGAAAGAGTGAGTGAAAGTTAGAGGATGAGCGAGAAAGATGAAAGTGAGAGTGAGTGTGTGAGTGCCTGAGTGCGAGAGAATGGAAGAGTGAGAGAGTGCGAGAGAATAAGATTGAGGGAGAGAAAGAGGTAATAGACGTATCGATCTATTGCTTAAATGATTTACTTATATTAATTTCAATCTACAAATATCAGTCCCCCCCCAAATCTATTTTCTATAAGCAATTAAAGATGCGAAAAGGCAATAATGTTGGCATTTGATATTGTATAGAGACAGATATACAATGACAACAACTGGAAATAACTGAGAGAGAGAGAGAGGGGGATGAGTGAGTGTGTGAGTGAATGAAAATGATTGGGGCAGAAAGAGTGTGAGAGTGAGTGTGAGAGAGAGAGAGAGAAAGTTTGAGAATGAATGAAAGAGATTTTAAGAGGGAGTGACTGTGAGAGAGTCATAGAGAGTGAGATTGAGACAATGTGCTACATTGAGCAAGAGAGAGAAAAGTGACATTAGTAGAGATTGTGAGTGAGAGAGTGAAAGCGATTGTGAGAGGCAAAGTGTGAGAGTGAATGAGAGAGTGAAAGTGAGTGGAGGAGAATGAACTTGAGAAAGAGAGAGAATAAAATAGAGATGGAGATTGAATGAGTGAGTGACTGAGTGAGTGAGTGAGGGAGAGAGGGAGTGAATAAAAGAGAGAGTAAAAGGAAGAATGGGAGAGTGAGTGAGAAAGAGTGTAAGAGGCTGCTTGCGTATTTTCAACTAGTGCCAGACATTGGTATTCAAGCCCAGGCAAAAAGACACTATCTTCAATGCTGATTTTCTAGGCAACAAACAAAGCTACCCATACACACACAAACACACACACACTTAACGTAACTCATTCCTTATTAGTTTGTTTATATCAGCCCAGCCGAAGCTAGGCTGATATAAACAGAGATAGAATGATCATAGATTGAAACGGATATGAAGAGATGTTGATGGATAGAGAGATTAGCTGTGGCCGCCGTAGAACTGTAGGTAATAATAGATCGTTGCCACTGGACTGAGTTCGATTCTCACAGGGTACCCCAATCTACTTCTGTATATGCCGTATAAGGGGATCTTTAGATAAGACGAGGTCAAAGAATATAGCAAATTTTCATGAATTTATCCTATTTTTTAATGTCATCCGTGATACACGCTTAGGCAATCATGTATCTTTCTATACATGACTGATTAGGCAGATTGCCATTTCTTTCTGTGGTAGACCAGTTGCCATCCAAAGCCACCTGTTGCAAAAGATGATTGCTTATTGATTATATAAAGATGATGTTACCGGAAATGTTGTTACTTAATGGATCCTTTGTGTTTTTCCCACACACGTCTCCTAAAAGTGAAACCATTGTTTTGTTTATGTTTCATTACATGATCTCTTGCGAATACTGATTATATTTTTTCCTCTCTTTTTCTTTTCTTATGTCTAAGCAGTTACAAACAGCCTGGTGCACTAATGGCCATTTACTTATACAATATCGACAATCACAAAATACCGCTAATAACAGAACGAATAATAGTACATTCTATTGCTGCGAACGCAGCCATAATTCAATGTTTACATTTTTCTCAGCTGAGTTTACATGGATATAAGTTGATTTTATTGACATGGAATTATTCTTCGAATATGCAATGAAGTTATATCAGTAATATGTAAGGTAGAAATGGTTTTATTACTTTTATTATCAGTTTATTTGGTAATGTGAATCTTTTCATGTATGTTATTGGTTATCGGACCGAGGTCGAGGTTAGCCGACCGACAAACATCTCTCAGAGTTTAAGGTTTCTTTATTAGAATGGTAGTATAAGACGACCCCCAATTTGTAAAGATGAGTTTAGGGATTTAAAGGTCGTCTTATACGCGGAAATATACGGCAGTTGTTTCTTTAGCAATTGATAAAAGATAGATAGATAGATAGATAGATAGATAGATAGATAGATATGAACAGATTGAGATAGATAGATAGATAGATAGATAGATATAAACAGGCTGAGATAGATAGATAGATAGATAGATAGATAGATAGATAGATAGATAGATAGATATGAACAGACTGAGATAGATAGATAGATAGATAGATAGATAGATAGATAGATAGATAGATAGATATAAACAGATTGATAGATAGATAGATAGATAGATAGATAGATAGATAGATAGATAGATATAAACAGGCTGAGATAGATAGTTATAGATAGATAGATAGATAGATAGATAGATAGATAGATAGATAGATATGAACAGATTGAGATAGATAGATAGATAGATAGATAGATAGATAGATAGATAGATATAAACAGGCTGAGATAGATAGATAGATAGATAGATAGATAGATAGATAGATAGATATGAACAGATTGAGATAGATAGATAGATAGAAAGATAGATAGATAGATATAAACAGGCTGAGATAGATAGATAGATAGATAGATAGATAGATAGATAGATAGATAGATAGATAGATATGAACAGACTGAGATAGATATGTAGATGGATATAAACAGACTAAGATAGATAGATAGATAGATAGATAGATAGATAGATAGATAGATAGATATAAACAGACTGAGATAGATAGATAGATAGATAGATAGATAGATAGATAGATAGATAGATAGATAGATAGATAGATGTTGACTGAAGTAGATGAACAGATTGAGCGCAAAGAGAGGTTCCTTTCCTTTGGAAAATATTGATTTAAATTAGTCGATGCATGGATCAAAAGCGTGTTCATCTTAATTAATCAATAAATAGAGAAAATCAATAATTAACCCATCGTGTTTGCAAATGCGTTCAGGTTTTCGTATGACTTGGTCGGTGGTTTCTCGTTCAGTGACTTCCGCAGATTAATTGATTGATTGACTGGAATATAGTTCAATACATAACAACATATTCGATCGAAAAGTTAAACACATTCCTTCATGGGGAGGATCAACTAGTTGTAGATACACCTGAGACAAATCAGAGACCTTTCATTTCTCTCACGTCTAAGGATCTCTCTATCTGCCTGTCACAGTTTGGTCACAGGAGGAAAACAGAGATCTCTCGGTCCACTAGATGTTTCTCAACCTTTTTAAGAGCAAATGAAAATATCACGGCTTATTTAGCAAAATTTTTAAAGGGTATATATTTAAATGTTACGAAATGAAACCATAGATTTTTTTTTTTTAAAAATACACACACAAATATGAACTTACGTTATTTCAATGTTTCTATTCAACTATTTGTGCAGCTTATTTAGTGTGAAACTTGTGCCTGGTGTTTTTTTTTTTCACGATTTCTTCAATGTTTGTTTGAATGTGTGATAAGCAGACCGCCATTTCTTCTTCAGTTGAGCGTAGTTTTTCTCGCTTCTATTTCTTATTTTTGATGTAATTTATGGTTGAGGCGCCTTAAATAAGAAACAGAAAATTGCAATAAAATTGATAATGCCTTTTTAATTAATGTGGAATAAAAAGTTTAATGCTTCGTCATTTATTCAAATATTAATTCTATAACATAACTACTTCCACACACACACATACATATATATATATATATATATATATATATATATATATATATATATATATATATATATATATATATATACACAACTATAAGATTGGGGTATACGAAATAAATTCCAATAACCAAAAAATACTATTCTTAAAAAATGCTCAATACAGAGTAAAGCAAATATAATTATTTATTCGAGAATTATAACATAAATATGTTATAAAATCCATACAAAAATAGCCATTTTGTTTCAACACTTCTGGTGTCTTATCAAGTGATGGTGTTGTGTTGAATATATATATATATATATATATATATATATATATATATATATATATATATATATATATATATATACACACAAACATATGTATGTATGTCATGACAATATTTCGCGTTACACTTAAGAGGATCAAGCGGCACATTTTGGCCGTTGAGAATCACTGTACTAGATATATATATATATATATATATATATATATATATATATATATATATATATATATATAATAGATAGATAGATAGATAGATCGTTCCTGGAGACATATTCACTCTTTATCTTTCTCTCACTCTAACTCTCTCAATTTTCCCTTTTCCCCCTCTCGCCCTTTCCCTTTCGTAATAAACGATAATACTTAGGACACTAACACCACATATAAGATTCGACAGCCGCGCGTAGAAGACATAGTCAACTGCTAGAAGTGAGTTAAGTGAATTCCACAATGAATCTCCAACTTTAGAATATCTACCAATCGCCCCACGCGGTCATCTGTTTCGCGAAACGAGACTATGCCTTCGACATAGCCTTGTCTGGGGATCATCTCTGCTCGGAGGCAGAGAGTTTGACTAGCACAGCTGGAGAAGAATCTCCAACTCTAGGATATCTACCAACCGCCCCACGCAGTCAGATTGGCACAAGGCCGAATTTAATGTTGGGTATCCGAGCTCGTAAGCTCGGCCAAAAATTCCCCGTATACCCTGTATAAAAAAAACTGGTTTGGGTAGCTGTTTCCCGAGACGATACTCTGCCTATCGGGGGACCCTCTCTGTCCAAAGGCAGAGAATTTGACCAGCACAGCTGGAGATGAATCTCCAACTCTAGGATATCTACCAACCGCCCCACGCGTACAAATGTCGCACAAGGCCGAATTTAATGTGGGGTATCCGAGCCCGTAGTCTTGACCAAAAATTCCCCGGGGTCGGATAGCTGTCTCCCGAGACGAGACTCTGCCATTCGACATAGCCTCGTCTGGGGATCCTCTCTGCCCGGAAGCAGAGATTTTAACCAGCACAGCTGGAGAAGAATTTCCAACTCTAAACCACGTACAGTGTTCACTACTGCAGTTATGAAATGGGGGCATATCCATTATCGTCCGTAGGTATGCTACAGCACTTTTTAAATTTGCCTTTCAATTTCTCTCTCCTTTTCAATTTGTTCTTTTCTCTCTTTTTCACTTTCTCCTTTTCAAGTTGTTCGCTCTCCCTCTTTACATTTGTCGTTTTCTCCTTTTATATATTTCTCTTTTCCTTCCCAATTTGACTTGTTCTCTTTTCCTCTCCCACTTCTCTCTCTACTTCTCATTTTTTTTCTTCTTTCTTTCACTCCTATTCCATTTATTCCTCAACCTTATTTTTCTTAAATATATCCTTCTCAATGTGTCTTTTTCTCTCTGCCCTTTTCAATTTGCACTTTTCTTATCTATCTTTATCATATCAATTTGATTTCTCCTCCCCTCTCTCTCCCCCTCTCTCCCCCTCTCTCTCTCCTCTCTCTCTCTCTCTCTCTCTCTCTCTCTCTCACATTTCACTTTCCTTTCTTGCTGTGCAATTTAATAGTTCAGCGTTTAATATTATTGAAATGTTACAGAGAAATTTTCGGAATAATTACCTGGCATTTCTTTTAAATAACATTTCTGGGAACTGCAGTCAAATTTAAAATGACAGATTTTTTTTTTTTTTTTTTTGATTGTGTTCAAGTGTGACGTAATCTTTCCAATAAATATGACAAATTTAAACCCGAAAATATCATTCGATTCTCAGAAAGTTTGATTAAGAAACGTCGGCTTTGATTTAAACACGTTATTCATAAATCGATTTACAATACTCAAATGATTTATCCCATTTTTTTTCCAGAATCAATGATATTTGCAGCAACTGTTTACGAGACCCCCCTTTGAAAAAAAGCAGACCCCAACATCACTGGTGTTATACGTGGGTTCAAGGCTGAAACCTTATTTATTTTTACTCGACCCCAATTGAACTCATGTGAGTCGACAACACTGCATGATAGTTAATTGTGAACATCATGACATTTTCAGTGGCTCTATACGGTGCGACTTGCCAAAGCCACGTACGATTTGAATTCAGAGTTGTTTTACCCCTAGACTAGTTACCAATCATGGCTAGAGATCCCATTCTGTCCTTTAGTTTAGACCATAACCGGTGGGATAAAAGATGGATTCATAAGTTTCCCAAGAGGATTTGCGCGAAAGGGAATGCAACGAATTCGGTTCGATGAATTTTGCTTCCGAGTCGTTAACCGTTACACTAAACGCGCAGCCTCTACTCCACCGCGCAGCCTCTACTCCACCATGCATCCGTTGCTCCACCGCGCAATCGCTGCTTCACTGCGCAACCGCTGCACCACTGTGAATGCTGAAGCAGCATTACCGATAATAGCCCAAATCTCCCGGAAATATCTTACGATATTGCCAGACTTTGTTATTTTTCTGTTGCTGTGTGAAAGCTCCATGCAGATGCAGATTTAGGCCAGTTGGATTTTGGAAGCGTGTCATTGCACTCAATTTAAATTTGGGGTTTGACATAAATAAAAACACAAAATATACGTTTCCCATTCGTTACCCTTTTTTGTGGAAACGAGTTTAAAATTAAATTAGGCCTCAAAATCGTAGCCTGGGTATTTCATTCCGGTGATCAGTCAAAGCCTTAGAGCACAGCCTTATCAAATATATAATTTATTGAAGCTTTAAAATTGTATACGGACAAGATGTATGGCACAAGCACATTATTACTAAATCATCGTGCCATCAAATAAGATCTTCATTTACTTCAAATGGAAATTAAACTGAAGAATTTAGCTATATTATGATGTAATTTGTTATATAGTGCAGTAGTTTTGGTGTGGTTTTCAATAAACAATGCAAATTTAAAATATTTTGTTTTATAATTTGTGCCCAGCAGTATTATGGTGTTATATATAGTTTTATCTAATTTTTGTTTTTATTAATTAGCATCTAACAAATGATCTAATAAGTCTTATTCATTGAGTTACCTTTTTTTGTAATCTTATATTTTTTACACAGTTTTTACTCACCGAATACAGTAAAAATAATACACGAAAATTATTGCGTATTTTGCTTAATGGGATTCATTATTAGAATTCTGTTTTAAATATATTTTCCATTCAATGTATCTAAAGTAAAAGATATCAACTTTAATTGGAC